TTTTTTTTTTTCTTTGTGAAATTTGATGTAATTTCTTTTGTAACTTTAAATTACTTCTGCAGTTTAGCTTAGGCTGCAACTGAATAAGTTTATGTATGTTTGATGTTTTTATTTTTACAAAATAAAGATACCGTCTATATACCTTATATACTTTATATATGAAAAAAGAAATCAAACTTAGCATTTTAATATGTTATTGTAACATTTATTGTGTGTAAATAGTGACCAATTTGGCCAAGGCTTTAGTTATTTCACTTTACTTTGTTTTGTGTCTGATATACAGTAAATAGAGAACAAAAATACAAAAGACTGTGATGAGATTGGATTGGATTGGATTGGACTTAAATAAATTTTTTCAACATACTTTTGAGAGGAAGCTGACTTAAAGATACACTCTATCAAAGCAAATTGTCAAAGTGCTCCCGATCTCATTTTTATTGCTGTATTTTAAAAAATGCTAACAAAATTATTTCTTAATTATTTATTATTATTACATTTCAGACGAGTTTGTGAAATAATCAAGGAAGCTGTCGATAAGCATAATATTATTTTTGTTTCTTCTGCTGGAAATAATGGTCCAGCTCTTTCCACTGTTGGATGCCCAGGTGGCACCACTAGTAATATAATAGGTATGAGCATTTGTACACAGTTAGGCAATCAGAGATGATGATAAAGGTGTAGCAATAGGTAAAGTTAAATGACGTGGATAGTAGATCCATTAGAAATTACCCGAAAATTTCCTAGAAAATGTCTTCAGCAAATGCAAGAAATATCAATTATTATATTTTGGCTGAATCCCACTATTTTTTCTGATCATGCCATTGAAAACAGATTAACTACAGAAAACCGTCTGACTATTAAATATACTTTATATTGTTGTTCAACTCAAGTTTATTTTCCCAATAGGTGTAAATATTCTTAAATGCAAATTAAATACAAAACCCTTATAAGAAGGAGCTGAAAAATAGAGTAAACACTAATCAAGTCCAGCCCCTTTCTCATAGAACAGTAGCCTAATAAAATGTAAAGTTCATAATTTTTTTTTCTCAGTTTAACTAATGATTTGAAATATTACATATAAAAGAATTAATGATGAATTCTCTTTCAAACTTAATTTAGATGAAAAAGATATAGTACAGTACATCATTATAATATACAAAGAAATATGGTTAAGTTTACATCAACAAAAATATCTTCTAAATTTAGTTTTTACATTTATTTTGAATACATCCTTCGATTATATGTATTTTGTTGGAATTGATGAGATAGTAGTTGCCAACCATATTGTAGTATTGCAACCTTTTTGGGATATTTCTTGCTTTCACAGTTTATTTAAAATTATATTTTTTTTCTCAAATGAAATGAAAAATGTTTAGTATGTACAATCAAATTTTATATATGGCTCATCATGGATTAAAAAAAAGTTGTGTAGTTTTAAAACTAATTTAAACAAAAGAGAATAGAAAAGAATAATAATATTTTCTTGAAATACAATATAGTGATCATCATAAAATATAGAATATACAGGTTGATCTAAATTTCATAAAAATCTAAAAAATGTTTAATGTTACTTAATTATCTTTAATGCATCTAATTTGTATTTAATATTTCTTTTTACAAATTAGGTGTAGGTGCATATGTATCACCAGAAATGATGAAGGCTGAGTATTCAATATGGAAAACGCTGCCTGGGATGCAGTATACTTGGTCATCACGAGGGCCGACGTAAGTTTTCAATCATTTGATGGTGCCATGAATTGTGTGTAAGAGCTGGTTACTATCAAAAACAACTTGAACCAGGTTCGTAGTGTGACTTAATTTGTGGGAGGAAAGGCAATCCTTTGGCTTGTATGATCTCCTATACTTTGGAGAACATTGTAAATATATAGCCCTCTATTGGTTCTGGTCTTGCATAGTCAAAAACAGGCAGTAGAGATGAATGTTATGAACCATTGACCTACTAAAAAAATCTAATTTTTTCCATCATTAGGACTGATGGTGCTTTAGGAGTGAGTATAACGGCCCCTGGGGGCGCTATAACATCAGTTCCAAACTGGACACTACGTGGAAGTCAGCTAATGAATGGCACGTCTATGTCGTCACCGAATGCATGCGGTAGTATAGCATTGATCCTCTCAGGTCTGAAGACACTAGGTGTTCCTTACAGTCCACACAGTATACGAAGGTCTCTTGAAAATACTGCTTTGAAAATAGATAAGATTGAGCCATTCGCTTTAGGTCAAGGTATGTTGCAGGTGAGAATCGTATTTCTTTTGTACCTGTCATATCCTTTGTAAACATTTTTGTCTTCAATCGTCTTGCACTAGGCAAGCCTTGATCTGATCAGGGAAATGATGCCCCTGCCTAGTGGTGACTCACAGGATCCTCTGGACCTGGGCGGAGATTACCTGTTTAATGATCCCACCTTGGGTGACAGCTATTCTTCGCTCTTTTTAAAAGTTTCTCTCAATGGCTGTGTAAATGCCAACCATTCTCAAAGTGAATGGAACCCAATTGTCTTCAACATGAGGACGGCTACTGGAACAGTAAGTTGTGGTGTTCTTGAAAGAGTTCAAATTGTAGGTGAAGCTATTTTATTTAGGTAAGTAAATACAGTATGCACAACATTGTCTTGGTGCACTTTACTGTCTGTGAGGTATTGTGGAAGAGGTTAGGTGCAGCGGGAATGGTTTGGTTTCCCAACATTAATGTTTAGGTTTCAGTTCCTCATTTTGCATTGCACTTGTCCTTGGGCAAGGCACTTTATCTGCATTGCTTCTCTCCACCCAGAAGTATTAGTGGGTGCCTCGTAGGGTTAAATGCCAAAATGTGCTGATGTAGCTGCTGCAACTTTATGGCAAACTCCCCCAGGGAGATTGAGTTTGTATTCCATAAGCATTTAATCCAATGACCGGGGTAATGATAATGTGATGCACATAAAGGACATAACTATACCGAATGGCCCTATATAAGTCTACCATTATTATCATTATTACTGTGCTCTCTTAGCCACAATTTCAGTCCAATATTTGTTGAGAAGCAGTTTATTAAGTTTATGATATTATAAAATACACATCTTTTATAGGTGGACAAGGCATTTGAACATGCACTCCACAATGCCGATGCCCCAGAACGTGATATTAGGTTTAATATAACAGTCAACGGTGGGCGTGGAATTTATATACGGGATGCATTGCGACAGAAACAGCCTACTAGATACCAGGTGTCCATTGAACCTGTATTTAATGAGAATACAGGTAAGTTACGGTATATATTATTTATAGTTAAATCAATTTTAAATAACTTTCAAAAGAGCTTTATCATTAATACATAAGATTATTGTCATCTTCAATAACATAAAAATATATTAAGATCAACTTTTAGAGCCAGCCTGATTTAGAAATTATAATTTGTGCATGGTGTCCCAAACAAAAGCTTCATATCTCCAATAAAATAATTTGTAATCTAAAAAAGAAAACATAGTTGGATGGAAAATGCTTGTAGAACTATTTTGGTACCAGCCTTTCAATCACAGCTGTCTGTGTTGCCAATTTACAAACAAAAGTTTTCCAAACTGTAAAACTTTCATAACTCGTACTTTTGTTTTGAGTAAGTTTAACTGATTTACTTTTGGCTTAAAACCAAACAATTTGAATTTGTTTATTAGCCGCCTTTTGAAATTCAGCGTTCAGATTATTTATAGAGTGCACAAATGTACACAGTAAGTGAAAGCTTCTGTTGTTGCGATGCCCACATGAAAGATAGGATAGCAGTATTTTTGGTTTGAATCAAATCAAGGATAACTCATTAAGTCCAAAGACTTGTTTCTATTGGGGTTGTTTTGGTGGTGAATTGGGCAGTATACCGGGAGACAATCCCCTACTCTTTTCTGAGAGAGTACTGCATTCTTTAATGTGCTCATGGGCCATAAAGCACACAGGACCAACAGCTTAAATATCTCATCCAAAAGATGGTGATCTATCGTAACTTGCATTTCAGCCCTCCAACTGAAATACAAGGAGAGCAGCGATGGGAATTGAACCGGGGACCTAGAGATCTCCACAGTTTAGCGCTTGCACAGTGGCTACGCCAGTTCAGTACCAGAATAATTCTACAAGTTTTGTTTATCCAACTATGTTGTTAAGTTTAGATTGCAAATGATTTTAATGGAGATAAGAAGCTTTAAAAAGTGTCAAGACTTTGGGAACACCATGTACTTGAATTTAAGAAGTACAGTATTTAAGATTTTACTTTCTCTATGGTCGTAAATATTTTTTTTTGTACATGTACGTTTTCAAAGGTTTAAGTTTACGTCGTTTGCCGAAATGTCCCTATTATCAAATGCATGCTACTGTGATTACAGATTATTCATACTTTTCTACATACATGAAAATCCTTTATCCTGATTGATTGTGACATCCTAATACCACCCACCTTGTTCTTTCTACAGATCCAAGGGAAAAAATAGCATTAGGACTACATTTATGTTTGACTACTGAAGCATCATGGGTATCGACTCCCACCGTATTAGAGATGATGAATACAATTCGTAGCTTTTCCGTTATTGTAGATCCTCAGGGACTTGCTCATGGTCATCATTTTACTGAGGTATTTGTATAAGTATTACTACTACTGCTATAGTACTTCTTATGCTATCATTTTTATGATAAAATGACACCTTTCAGACCCTAAAAAGGCTTATTTACACACAGCGTGGCAGTGGCACACAAATGCAACAAGAATATTCTGTCACTTATTGCAGTTCTTTTGCGCATAAACATTTGATAACTATTATGACACACATTCAAATTCTGCAGTTTGCATCAGCTAGAGATGACCACAATCATTAATTGGTCAAAATATTTGTCGCATTTGCGTACCGCTACCACGCTCTGTGTAAATAGACAAGTTTTTGGAAATAGATTCTATGCCTTCTCTGTCATGTAGCCATGTCACATTGTTTTCAATTAAGTTTTCAATATATTGAAGCTCCAAAAGCCTATTATGTATCAATAAAAATTACAAAATATACATCAAACAGAGTACTCTTAATTCTAGACATAAACAGCATGCTCCAAAATTCTCCAAAAGCAGTGGTTTATTGCATGTTCTACACAGTTCTTCATGTGTTTTTGTTGTTATTTTTATGCATTACTTTCACTAAATTCAATTATGTTATACTATGTTAACTTGATTGACATTTCTTTTAATTGACAGATTTTAGCCTTTGATGTAACCGATCCAGCAAGAGGGCCATTGTTTCGTATACCAATAACAGTACTGGTTCCGGTATCAATTAGTGACACGGTCAACTATGAATGGACGTCTGACGTACTTAATTTCCAGCCTGGTCAGATTCATAGAAGGTTCATCACAGTCCCCAAAGGTGCAACATGGGCAGGTAAATCAATTTTAGATGCCAACAACATTGTTTTTCTCCAGACTTTATTGTAATGCGTAACAATTATTATTAAATTATTATTATTATTAGTCATTTTCAAGTTTTAATAGAAAAGGAACTGTTTCCAAGGGAGAGATTCAAGAACAAAGTTATAAAAGGAGGCTGGGTGGCAGAGGGAGCAAGGCTGGAATAGGGTCACCTTATCAAAACGTTTGAATAACAGGATGCTAGACTTACATTAGAATAACAGGATGCTAGACTTACATTAGAATAACAGGATGCTAGACTTACATTATCTGGGTATTAAGCCCTGTTGAAACTATGAAATTTTATTCGGCAAAAACATGTGACATGCCTAAATATGATCATGATGACATCACATCATGACCATATATGGGCATGGCACCAAGTTTTTGTCAAAGAAAATTTGATAATATGAACAGAGCTTTAGAGCCATTTGTTAGTTTATGTGTCTGTTAACCACTGCTAGTTGATAGACCTTTCAAATTACAATGCTGTTTCTCTGTTTTCATATTTTCCTTGATTCTTATCAAAATAGATGGGTTTTTTTTCATTTACTTATATATCCTCATTTAGTTTATAATTTTTCAGAGATATTTTGGAAGATAGTGCTGTATAGAATGTAATGTATTTATATAGCGCTTTTTACTGAAACAGTTTCAAAGCGCTTGAGGTGTGGATTAGCTGTACAGTAACTTGCTTCTCCCCTAGTACACAATTTTTTTTTTTTAGTTTACAATACCATTTTATCAAAAATCAAAACACATTACCTTAATTTTATCTTATTGCCATTTTGTTTATGTGCAACAGACCATTTTCATGAACTTTGAAATGAAAATTTCCGATAACCTGGCAACTACTACTGTGGGACTTTGAGAGGCCAAGCATTTCACTCTACGTAGTTACTATCATGGATTATATCAATGATAAAACTAAATTACTAACGAGCACAAGTATTTTTTTAAATGGTAAAAATATGAAAGTCCAAGTCTTAAAAAGGTATTTCAATGTTTACATATACAGCAATTACAGTAATTAGCAAGATCGTGTCTGTTGTCTACTGCTGCTATAGCAGATGTCTATTTGTGCTATCCGCTGCGTGGTGTTCTACTTGTAACTAGCCAGCTGCTCAGGCTTAGCCACTGGAAAGCCCCACAGTGAGTTGCGAGATGTAGGCGGCGCTGTTTCAAAATAAATCTGATAAAATGGTCTATAAATTGATTATTTAAATTGTTTTCAGAATTAACTCTCACTTCTTTGGATGAGAACCAGGCACGATTCGTAATACACACTGTTCAGCTTCAGAAAAAGAGTGCGTACCGTGTCAACGAGTTTTATAAGTTTCTAAATTTGATGGAGAATGCTGAGGTTTCATATGCTTTCTCAGTACATGGCGAGAAAACATTAGAAATTGCTCTTGCAAAGTGGTGGGCTAATCCTGGTGATGTACGTGTGAAGTATTGCGTTTCATTCCACAGTTTGGAGCCAAGTGAGAAGTCAGTTTCAATGGTAGGCCTATGTGTTGAATTTGATGCAAAAACAAATACATGCTTTTTTATACTATTGATGATAATATCTATGTATAAGAACAGACAAGCCCAAGGATTTTCCGTATTCCGTGTATATATACAAATGTGTATGTTTATAAGTAAATTAAGATTACAAAATTGTGTTTTCACAGCATGCAGCAGGTGGTGTTATGCGTTTGAATGTGCAGTCCAACCTGAGGCAAGAGGAACTGTCCCCAGCTATCTCAATTAAGAACTGCGTTCAACCACTAAGGTATGTATGTTACATACAGTACATTCATCTACCTATAATTGGGTGTCTGTTCCAATCCTTGTATGCATGTTGTTACATACATTCATCTAACTAATTGGTTGTCTGTTCCAATCCTTGTATGCATGTTGTTACATACATTCATCTAACTATAATTGGGTGTCTGTTCCAATCCTTGTGTGCTTACTGCTAGTTGCAACATATGGAATAATTAGTTACAGCCTTATGAAGTGTTCTACAATTTTTATTTGTCCTCACAGAAACTGCATTACGATGTTACAGAACACACTGACTAAAACAGTCACAAAAATAAGTTGCACATTTATACATGAGTTGTGTATAAATGGTAGAAATGAGGTTTATGGCTTAAATTAGATCGTTTGCAGCTATAAAAACCCATGGAACAAATACTCTGCTCCCTTCAAGTGCCATCCTACTAGGCACCCACTTATACACCTTGGTGTAGAGAGAGAGGGGGGGGGGGTGGACAAACGTAGTACTTTACCCAAGAACATAAGCAGAAATTCACATAGTAGGTTTGGACCACCCCCATCTTAATCTAAATCTCAGTCCACACTGTCAACTTTTATGAGACTAATAACTGTGATATACCCATATTTGGGTCTAATATAACATCACCATACCCATATATGGGCACATCACACAGATTTGTCATATAAAATTTGATAATGTAGACAAGAGTTTAACCACAGTCCAAACAATCAATTAAGTTGTCAGCTTCCAATATAGGCCACAGATTAAAACAATGATGTATAGAATTTTTATTCAAAAAAAATCTTAATTACCAACTCATTCTTCAGTCTCCCTCTTCCTGTGTTCTCTGCAATTCATTATTTTTTTAGGGTTTTTTTTTCGGTATTCCGGAAGGAAGAGAAAATATAAATTAAATGACATATTTAAGGCTTAATTCATGGACAGAATAATATGAGAAGTATAATTTATATAAAACTCTTAATGGGCAAAAAAATGTTTTCACTATCAAGCTTTCAGTTTAAAGCTAATAAACTTAATTTTTAATAGTCAGCAATTGATTTTATTAAATTTTGATTGTCCATGTTTTGAGAATAATTCACACTGTTCTAAATCTTTAAAGCAGCCCATAAGCATATTGTATAGCACTACCAGCAAATTTGTTTTTAGCTCACTGGGAAATCCTTCTTTTGCGGTTTCATAGCTCATAATAAATGAGTTATTACGGCTTAAGTACTGACATATATTTAAAATGTTCATATTGCTTGTCCCCCTAGGCCATCTGATGCCAAAATCAAGCCACTTGGGTCCAGGGATGTGTTAACTGAAGGCAGGCAGATATATGAACTTCTCCTTACCTATAATTTTCATCAGGTAAGGCTAGCCTAGCGAAAGAGCACACTTACGACCTAATACCAGGCTTTTTTCCCCTGCTTAATGGTTAAATCAAATTGACCAATGTGTCTTGCATTGTATTCATTATTATGTTCCATCTCTGTTTAGATACAGTCAAAACTTTTTGCTGCTTTTAAATTGTTGAGTTTATATTCTTGTAACAAATCCTCAGTTGCAAAGTATCTTTAATAAATACTTATATACTGTCTGTGATAAAAGATATGATGTTGCCTGTGCCGTTATCCATTTTTACGGAGTATATCAAATCCAGGTCGAGAAGACTGGAAAAAGAAGTGGGATATTAAAAATCCAAATAAAACACATTGATATTAATTTTAAAGCTTTTCTTTGCAAATATCAAGTCATCCAAGATATTCTTAATGTCTTTATACATGAATATGTCAATCATCGAAAACTGAATACTTTTGATCTCTGTTTCATTATAAAAGGTAAAAGTGTATTTAATCTTTTTGAATGAGTAAGTTTTAAAGATTTTCCAAGTTTCACCACAGATGGTACTGTAAATATTTAATGGTGGAAATATTCCTACAACATTTTGCCTTGTGTTAGTTTCCAACAATCATAATGATTTACACATTCTCATTCTTATATGCCTGATCAAAACATAAGTATCCTTCCACTAAACGTTGGCAGACTAATTTGCATGTGAAATGCGCATTATCACCTCAGTTATTATAATATTCTTTTCCTTTTGTGTTTCAGAGTAAGACGTCTGAGATCACGCCAAACTGTCCTCTTCTTAGTGATCTGCTTTACGAGTCTGAATATGAAAGTCAACTGTGGATGCTGTTTGATAGCAACAAGCAATACATGGGATCTGGCGACGCTTACCCACAACAGGTGATTATTGATAATCATAATAGTATCAGTAAAATGATAATAATATTACAATCAAATTTACAATGACAAGAAATGATCGGTTAAAATTTCAGCAATATAGTCCTATAATAATGTCCAAAAGAGTTATAAAATTGCACCCTCTAGAGTTGTTGATTATATCATGACATAATACCTTCAGTTAGAATTTGTGTCAGCTGTTTGTCTTTCAATATCAAAAATTATTTATTTGAACTAAAATAAACTTAACTTTGTTTGAACTTTCATTCCTTGGTAATTTAATTTAAGGCAAGATTGAGATTATAATATTTAATGAAAATAACACATTTTGGTTACAGTACCTCTATTGTCCAAAACCAGAGTGACAGAAAGTACATATGTGAAATGATTAGTCCTAACCACTGTAACCTGGCTCTTGTAAAAGTGTCAATGATCATACAGTAAATGATTTTGATGTTGAAATAAAATCTCACTTAAAACTAAAAAGAAAAAAAAACACCCCAAAATATGAAAAGATCTATGCATGATAGTACAGGCACACAGGAATAACTTTAAACATCAATAAACCTAACCAGTACTAAACAAAATTAGCAGCTTTAAACAAAAACAAATAATTCAAATGCAATCAACTTTCTCACTGTTTAAATTACTTATCAGTGGGTTTGTTACGAGAGTTTAATACTGGGGCACACCTTTCTATAAATAAGTAATGCTGTGAAGGTTTTCCCACACCCTTTCTCCAAGTGGTCTAATTAATCTTCATATAATGATGTTATATATTTGTTATACTCCAGTGCTTTGTTTAAAACAGCAATTTTACATTTCGTTTATCAGTACACCCTCAAGCTTGAGAAAGGAGACTACACACTCCGACTCCAAGTCCGTCATGAGAAGAAGGAAATGTTAGAAAAAATTAAGGATATGGTGATGCTTATTGATCAGAAGCTGTCAACAAGCTTCACCATTGACACCTTTCCGTCAATCCTGTCTGCACTTAGTGGCAAGAACAAGTTTAACACTGTGAACCTGATGGCAGGAAGCTCAGTGCCTATCTTCATTCCACCAATTCCAGATGATAGATTACCAAAAGGCGCTACATTGGGCCAGATTCTGACAGGTACAATGACTTTAGCCAAGGGAGATCTCGGAAAGAAGGCAAGTTAAATCATATGAATTTATTTAAATGTAAATAATTGTCTGTAATGTCTATAAATATATGAATGTATTGATTTAAGAGAATTTATTGGCATCTTTCATAGCTGGAACCATAACAAAGTGTGTTTAAATGCATAGCATTTGCCTTTTCTTTAGTTTAGAACCTTAAAATCATGACCCTATCCTTGATTTTTAAACATTTTTCTGAATTCTGTATTGATTGTTTATACCCTTCCTCATGGAATTCACTTTTCCCCTATCATAGAATACACTCTTCCTTCTTTATGGAATGCACTCTCCATTCTCTGTTTTTTTTTATCACCTTATAATTTTTAATCTGACCTCTGACCCTTGTTGCCAGGTCAAGCGGAGGAAGGGCGTTCAAGCAGATCAAGGGTCAGAGGGCAGAAGGAATGTTGGTTTGAAAGCAGTGAGTTATTTATTATTGACATGAAATTTAAATATTTGTGTACAGTATTATTGCATTTATAACTACCCAAAGTCAACAAAGTATAAGTATAAACCGCTGCCCACACTGTCATGCTTTTTTGTGGTAGTACATCTGATTGGCCCATGTATGGGTGTGATATGACACCATCCTGCATATCATAAGTTCATATCACACATTTTTGTCACATAAATCTTTAGAGTTTGGACAGAGCTTTTGGTTACAATAACATATAGTTCTTCTGACCTCTTTGTGATGAATATTTTTCCCCATCAAAATAATGTTTTAAACTTTATGAATGATTTATATATTAATCCTATGATTGAAATTAGACTTTTCTTTTTTACCTAGAAAAAGAAATCACTATTGTTTTTTGGTCAGAAATTTGTGTACTAACATTATTACTACTTGTAAATCATTAATTATTAAGCATAATATTGATGTCAGAATGCATAAAACCACTTGATGATCATAATACAGTAAACTAATACCTTGTTCACATGAGATGAAGTTTTTCAAGAGATCTGCTAAATGTTACACAAAGATTTATTTATTTTTATTTCTTTATTCGGCAAACAATAAATACAGACATCAAATAACAAATGATCAGATAAATAAGCGATAATTGACAAACAAAAAGAATACAACAGATCGCCCGGATAACCATGAAAGTCGCCAATTGGCAAGTTGTTTCCAAAGGGGTCCAGGTACCGTCCTCTAAAAGCAAGCGAATACAAATCTAGCTAAAAGTCAGTAAAATTATACATTATTATCTTCAGGAGTGTTTTTCTTGAGATATTACAAGGAACACTTACTCAGCATAGATACAGTAGCCATTCACCTGGTCTGGACACAATATAACGGGGTGCCTGCTAAAACCTCCCAACAGAGGACGCGTGCAACTTTTTTTTTTTCGTGTGAATTAAGTATTCTGTCAATTGACGTGTTGTTTATACTTCACTACTGTACTAGAATTTCCACTTTAATATGTGTTGTCTGTTATTGTTGGCAGTGGTTTATTTGATCTTAAGGTTTTGCACTGTTACACTATTAATAAATGTTTGTAAATTAACAAAGTGGCTGTTTATTATTTCCAAATAAAAGTCTTGTTTCTATGTTTACTTAATAGGACAGCTATCCATTTATGTATGTATTGACACAGACACCTCATAAGCCAACCAACACTAAACCAGACAAATCAAAGGACAAAAACAAAGAGGAGGAGTATGCAGATGCTGTCCGTGATCTCAAGATCTCTTGGATTACAAAGTAAGATACATGATTTAGGTTACAAGAAAATTTTATTTGCTTGAACATAATCTGTGGTGGCTAAATGCAGGCTTAGTCCTAGTAGATCGTATCGAAAGGAGAAATTCCAACGATGCAACGGGGATCGTCTTATACGACCGACATACGCAAACCGTCAAAAAATCTTCCTAAACTCGGAAATCGTATATACTTGAAGTATTTTGCAATGCCTTATATTATTACACTATCTTTTATAGGCTTGAAGGAAACAAAATATTTGAAGGCCTAATAGGTCAGCATCCAGATCATATACCTTTGTTTGTAGCCAGAATGAATATGCTGGAAGCTGATAAGGTAAGTCTAAAGTTCTGAAAAAAAAAATGTTGTATGCCCATGTATGGTCATGATGTGCCTGTATTTGTCTCAAAAGAACCCTCTACTTCTCTCGAAAGTAAACACGTAAATTGATGCCATCATGACCGTATGTAAGTCTAGCATCCTGTTATTCTAACGTTTTGATAAGGTGACCCTATTCCAGCCTTGCTCCCTCTGCCACCCAGCCTCCTTCTCTAACTTTGTTCTTGAATCTCTCCCTTGGAAACAGCTTCTCTTTCGATTAAAACGTAAAAATGACTAATTTACGTTTACGTAGGTACGTTCTGCAAAGGTCTGTAAGCGCAGGGTAACAGTTGCGGTGTAATATGTTGCTCTTATATAGCACTTCATGCACAATGCCTCTAAGCGCTTCACATTGCTACCCCGGTCATTGGATCAAACACATGGAACACATATTGGGGAGAATTCCATAATATTGCAGCTAGTAATCAGCGCAGTTGTGTTCGAACCTACCAGGTATCCACTTGTAATCCTGGGTGGAGAGAGACAACCGTAGATAAAGTACCTTGCCCAAAAACACAAGCGTTTTGCACAGCAAGAGTTTCGAACCCCCGACCTCGAGGTTGGGAGTCCAAACCACAACCGATGTGCCAACCACTTCTATAAGTATATACCAGTACACTAGGGTAACCCACTAATTTTCTCAAAAGATAATTTTTTTTTTTTTAAAGTGCACATGAGCCAATTGTGTACACTGGGCCTATGGTTTATAGTCCTTATTTGAGAAGACTTGTTCCACCATTCGAACCAGCGCTAATATAATGGCTGTAGGTCGCGGTTCCCCTGCCTTAACTGCCCGGCCATTCCACTCTCCAATAATAATAATAATAACTAATAATAGTTAGTATTGGTATGCTGAGTTAGTATTGGTATTCTGAACATTGCCTCTAGAGCTTCTCAATTAAGACTCAACCATATGTTTGAAATTTTTAATGGTTTCTGTCCTGAATATTTAAATGACAATTTCACCAAATTATCCGATCTTCATCGTCACAATACAAGGGGCAGTATTTTTAACTTTCACGTTCCAAAGACCAAAGGCAAAATCACTTTTACTTTCTTTTATTCTGGAATCCATGATTGGAACAGTCTGCCTGATGCAATAGAAGCAATTTCAAATTACAACGCCTTCAAAATTCGAGTTAAGGAGCATCTCATGTCATGTCTCCCCTCACTAATCGGTTAATAAATTAATAATGACTATTTTAACTGCATAAGATCTCGGTTTTCGCCTCTGTTCTCTGGAATACTTTATTCTTGCTTGTTGATTTTTAACTCATTTTTCATGTCTATTTTTTTGGTGTCGTCTGTTTTGTGTATTTTGGGACCCCTCTGGAAATAAATCCTGTGTTGGGATTTAGAGGGTTATCCCAGATATCAACAATGATGACTTGCTTGTTTTCTCTTTTTTGTTTCTCTGTTTATTGTTGTTCCTATTTTGTGATGTTATTCTGTTGATATCAATTAAATCAAATCAAATCAAATAATTAATAATAATTTTAACACATTACAATAAAATTGACAAGAATACAAATTTGTAATATAAAACAGAAAGTTAAAAAATTATAGGAAGCTAAAATTCAGGGAAGCTAAAATGCAAAAAGCATATTTAGTGGAGGGGGTTGCTGAGCAGGCACCAGCCCCACCTTTTGGAAAGTAAAAGAAAAACAAAAGAAAGAAACAGAAAAAAAATTATAGGCCAGAATGCCTATGTTATTTTGGGTCTCCTGAAAAAACAACGTTCGCGGGACATGCTTCCGGACCCCCTAAGGTAGTGTTATCTCGATCGGCCCAACTTTCTCACCCCTTTCGTCACACTTTTTGACATCTCTGAATCTGCCCCTGATATTGCATCACAATAAAAGTTAAACTATAAAATTCATATTAGCAACTAACATCACACAATTCAGATCAGTCTGTGTCAAAACAAATAGTGGAAGTGGAGTATTAAAAATATGGGAACTAATATGGCCTGACATCATTCTTCATCGATAATTTGATGTACTTGGATTATTTATATAAAATTCTTTAATATTTTTTCATAAAATACACTCAAGACACTTTACACTCAGTTTCTTGTAATAAAGGCCAAAATGATGAAATGACTGTTTATGACATCTGTCCATCCATTTCTGTGGGAAAAATACATTGTTAACCTGCTGTTCTTTCTTTGAATAGTGGTAGTTTTAGATTGATAACATGCACTTGTACAGAACTTCCTATTGATCGTCCATAATTGGAATTGTTAATAAGCACGATTTTACAATTTCATTGTAATGAATTGCCTATAATATTGAAAACAAAAAATTGGTGTATGAATTTTAAAAAGTACAATGGAAGTGTCCCTCTATTAAATTTTATAACCTATTTTTACTTGTATTTGATAGTGATTATTATTCAAGGTTTAATTCAAAATTTGTGTAAGGCCGATGCAAAACTGATATTAAAAATGGATTCCACTTGTCCATTGTTCTCGTCTTTAATGTTCGCAAGGTGATTATGGGCAATATTTTTGAACTGAATTCTAGAAGTATATAATTGGCTTAAGAGAATATCTCTTTAGACCTAGTATTGAATTCATTATTGGCATAGACAAACAATTACTGTATATGAAATTAGTCTCAAAGTTCGTACTCATGCCATACTGTAGGACTCACAAGCCTACATGGATGTCTACAATTTTCAGAATAAGTAGACACTGCAAAGATCGAATCCCTTTTAAATGTATCTTCATAGCATTGTGAAACTTACTGCAGTTTAATATTTTAATGTTTTCCGTAAGTGCAATAGATAGATATTCTTCTATATTTGTAATATGTACTGTAGTTTAATAATTTAATGTTTTCGTAAGTGCAATTGATGTTTTATAATATTTGTATTCTTTATTCTTTGTATTATAATATTTACAATAATGTAGTAATAATGTAATTTTTTTGAATTGTATACTTGCTTAGTTTCTACTTTTGTAATAATCATCTCAATTCATTTTACTATGCCATGATGATTTAATAAAATATACCAGAATAAAAAAAATTGTGTGCTTGATGAATGCCAGTCAAGTTGCCCCTCCTTTTACCAACTCGCCTCCTACAAACTCCTCAGTAACTCGGCTAGAAAACTTTCCCCTACCAACCCGCCCCCTTGGGAAGTTGCCCCTTTAAGAAATCGACCCCCAACAAATGTAAAAGTTACCAATATGATTATTATACTGTATGTATATTTGATTCCTTTTCCTGAACAAAAACGCATTTTATGGTTGCCGATTTCACCAACCAAATTGTTCTTGTTCATTGTACACTGCCATCTATTGATAGCAAAATCATATTGTTAGTTTAATCGGAAATCTTAGAAACTTACCCCCTTTAAATGCAAATGTTTAACAAGAACGGAAAAGGTAAATTTCCATTGTTTTATACAGAGTGGCTATAGTTACACCATATAATAATATTTAAAAAAAAATTGTATTGGCAGTAGGATTTACTATGGATAGGTATAGTTTATGTGTTTTATGATTTCTATTTTACATTATTTGGTTGAGGTTATTAAAGTCAGGTGTTTGCTCGAATGAATATATTATTACTGTACAGTACCATAAAAATGGCTGTTTTTTAAAAATCTATTTGATGATCAAGATTAGTGAAATGCAGGGTTTGAATTTCCTTAAACTTCTCCATCAGCAAATAGTTGCTGTGGGCTATGGCTCTACTACTACAACAATTTATTTTTGTTCTACTGCAACAAGCTTTGTAAATTGTTTAAAGAATAGGCGTATTCTATAAATGTAAGTGTATAATTCATTGCTGGGTCAGGTGACTCAGTAGGGTCATTCCATATGAACTTAACCAAAGTTGAAAAATGTTTGCAGGTGACCGACTCCGATTTGGCTCAAATTTATTTTGGAGATACCTTTACATGAATAATGAACACATGCAAAATTCTAGACTTATACTCCAAGTGGTTTCGGAGATATGGCCCCACAAAAATAGGGTGCCATGCCCCTTTTCAGCTTGGCGAATCACAAACTTAAATTTATAGGGTTTTTGGAGGTCAATATCTTGGTAATGAGACAGAGGTAGGAGCTGAAATTTGGAACTCATGGTATTTCTGGCCCAGGCTTTCAGAATCTGCTGTCAGAATTGATCTATCTTTTTTCATTTTCAAGCAACTGCCCTCTCAAATGTGTATCTTTTTATAGGCGGAAATCTTTTAAATGCTTAAGAATTACCTTTGATACATCCTTTACATGGTATAATGTTAAATAAATTTTACCAAATTTTTCACTAGGGCAAGGTAAGCAAGGTAAATTCAATTATTGTAGTACAGTATGGTCAAATTGCGCAGTGCTAGCCAGAAATGTTCTGTACACTAATATAAGAACACCTGTTAATGATGTTATGGAATCACATAACTGGAAACCAGCAATGGGAACATAATTGTCTTATAATGACAATTAAATGCTTATCGGGCAATGTTCCAAAATACTAATAATACAAATTATTACATATTAATTGATGCTTATCATAACATAAATACAAGAAGTAAATTAACACTTCGATCCTGCCAAAATGGCAAAACTCTTTGGGAAAAAGAACTTTTTAAATGTCGCTCAGTTAAAGTATGGAACAATCTATCATCAGATATTCATAGCAATATTCATTCCCTTTCCTAATACAATCCTTTAAAAATCTCATTTAATTTACCCATATGTTTTTCTTTCCTGTTTCTTGATGGAATCCATGAAGGGGCTTTTTCTGATTTACAGCCACAGGCTATTTGTAATTGCAACATATTCAAACTCAAAATGGAACTCTTTGTTTTCAGGACAAAGCGAAGATGCTTGACGAAATAGTTGCTGCTGCTGACAAGGTGGTCAATTTAATTGACCAATCAGCATTAGTTTCTTATTATGCTATGAAGAATGATACACGCTCAGATGCTCAAGTCATCAAGTCGTAAGTTTACATATCATCTTTATCCCAATATGGGATAGATGATATCGAATCATCAAATCATTCTTTATGTAAAACAACAGAATGTATTCAATAATAATAATAATAGGATATCAGCGTGCTGAATATCATCTGTGATAATACAAGATATAACTTCTAATGAAATATGGATTACACTTACAATACTTATAGTGGTTTTTTTACCACAGAAAATATCATTAAAGGGATTTCCAGCCAATTCACAAACTACAAAAAAATCTGAAAAACAACATTAATAGTGGCCTTAATATTGACCTAGGCTTTCTTAGTCACAGTGGTTGGTGTAAAATGTAATTAGTTTATTTCTGTACATCATACCATTGCTAGTTGACTCTTCAGTAGTAGATTGTTTATCTATTGTTTGTGCTACTCTATCCATGCTCTATCACAGCACTTAAATTTCTTGTTTTAATTAATGGTCCCTACTTAATAGCTAATTTATGATAAGCCTAATTAGTTATGCATAAGTTATATTCACTGTTTGTTCATGTTACAATTCACACATGTGACGAAGCTGGCATTGACTGGCAGCAAAAGCTCGTGTCCAATCAAATTACATCTTTAAAGTTAGTCTGAGCGTGCTGCCTCTTCATTACTTGTTGAATATTAGATAAGTAATTTATTAATGGATATGTTTGTTGTTTTATCGATTTGAAAAAAGATAATAAAGTATAAAGATCTTAGGAAAAAAAACTATTTGTTCTTGAAGTGTTGTAAATGCGATTTGCTTTTGTGTCCTTTCCCACTTAATTTTGTGTATTGTATTCGTGTTCTGAATATCTTCCACCATTGTATATATTACAAACAAAGAGTAAGAATAAATAAATATTAAGCATTGTAATGTATATGTGGCAAAGACAAGCCAAACCAGTCACTCATCGCAAAAATCGATCTTTAGTTATTATTGTTAAATAGCAAAATGTGAGCTATAAAATGGTAAAACAATCATTAAAAAAAACTGACATTTCGTTATGAAGTTACAGGAGTTTAAACATTAGCTGTTTAAAGAACAATATTTTAGAAATCAGCCTTCAAAGTTTATGATTTTAGGCATTTCTCAGGCAGTCTCCAAATCATTAAAATACGTTGTTTTAAAATTGAAAATGGGAAAAATAACAACATAGCACGATGTATAGATATGTAAAGGTCAGCGTAGTTTAATAAAATAGATTTCATGTTGACATTTCAGCATGTTTTGGTCATTATCTCTGAAACAGGATTTGCGACGAGTAACTGGTTGGCTTGTCTTTGCCACATATAATAGTTAATTCTAAACATCATAGTTTTGATGTAAACATTAACATTTTTTTTACTATACTTGCTTACAGCGATATGGATAAGAAGAAAGGGTACCTTATCTCAGCTTTATGCATCAAAGGTAGTGCGATAGCCGATATGATCTTAGCCAATCGGAAGGCAGGGAATGGTGTCACATCTTCTAACAGTTGCGATAAACAGCAGGCTGTTAATGAAATTTTCAATGAAGTACAGAAGTGGGCGGATGCTGAAGATAAGAAGGTAGGTATTATGAAGGAAATTATAAAGCCAGATGAAATTATACAAAAAATTCCCATCCATTCTAATTCAATATTGTCGAGCATGAGCGCTCCCCCTGGCCCCAATATATCTAGTTGAATAACCTGCATGACTAGAAACGCTTCACTTGAAACAGTGGAAGTTGTACTTGAAAAAAGATGTATGTAGCATGAAATTTGCAAGTAAAAACTGTCAATTTATAAAAGTAAGGGGAATAATAAACATGTAGTGACGTCATCCCTGCAATACCAATGTTATTGGCCGATCCCTCACAGTTGACGCTTGGCTTGATTTTTTATAGGTTTGCGTGCAAAAAAAATTCATCATTTTTACGTCAAGATATCATGCACCGCGATGAAAGTTGAATTGTAATTGAAAATTACTTTCTTTAAACAAGGTTAATTAGAACCCGAAGAAAGTTAATTTAAATTTAATATTAAGCAGGGAACAGTTAAATTAAACTGTTCCCTGATATCAAGTATGAACAATTAAGCAATTCCTTGAATCAATGAACCCTAATAAACTAAACAAACTGAACGTTTAATAGGAATATTCTAGACCTATTTTAAAGATGCAAGGAACGAAATTAGATGTAGGCAGGAGGCGGCAGAGGCCATCTACTACTAGCCTAGGCTGCAGCTTAGCGTAGTTATGAAATCATCCCACAATCTTTACCTGTCTGCACCAACCAAAAAGTTAGTGACAGTGACTGTATTCTCTCTCGAATGCTTTAAAAAATGTTTATTTTTTTGACAAATGTGAAACATTATAAACAATTTCTTCTAACACAATGCAAATTATATAATAGATTCATTGTATTCGTAATGTACTGCTGATGTGTAGTTAACGCTTACTGCAAGAACACAAATCAGCATATGCACGGATAAATGTGAATCTCAGATAAGATATTAAAATGCATACTCCAAGTATCGAAATGCACGCCATCATGTCGGGATTCAATATTTCGACATTAATTATGTCATCATCTGGAATGTTGATGATTCCTGATGGTGATATAATTAATGTTGAATTATTGAATCCCGACACAATGGCGTGCATTTCGATACTTGGAGTATGTATTATACTATCCTATAGCAACAGATGACTGCTATAACAGTTTGTTATCAAAACTAACATGAAAAGATGGAAAATTATTATACATAGGCTAGATTTAATGCATTCAAAAATTTGTTCAAGCATTAATCTATTACCTTCGTATAATAATTTTCCTATAGTGTACTATGCGGAGCTCTACTAATTGCTTATTAGTATAGCACCTGACTATAAGATTTGTATGCACTTAAGGAGAGAATATCTCAATTGTTAAAGACTTATATGAACCCTAGAAACATACATGGGATGTGTGCCAAAATCTCTACCTTGACAAACAGCCCGAAAATATCCTCACCCATTTTTAAATGATCACGCTCCTTTTTGGAAATGGAAATGCTACTTTAAACAGTAGGCTAGACATTATGAACATATTGAAAACAAGGGGATCAATTTTCACAGTCACACCTTAATCACAAGTTCCGTTCGTATGTAAATTAGGTTAAATATACAAAAAATAGGGACCATGCCCCCCTTTTTTGACTTGAAGGTGCTATTTTAAACAGTAGGCTAGACAATCTGAGCATATTGAAAACCATGATTTTCTTTTATAAATGAACACATATAATGAGGGATAATATTTCAGAAATCACACTGTGGTCACATACATTTGCAAATTAGCTTAAAAAATATACAAAAAAGATAGGGGATACGACTCTTCCTTATTTGAAGCCCTATTAACAGTAGACTGGACAGTCTGAACATTTTTTTTCTTTTATAATTAAACACATGATAAGTGGATGAAATTTCAAAAGTCATACCATGATGGTCATATGTCTTCTTCATATTCAAATTAACTTAAAATAGAGGGCACGCCAATTTTAATATTTAAGTGCTACTTGAAACAGTCGGCTGAACAAACTGAACGTTTTTTTTTAACATGAAGAAGACATGATGTGGCAATGGTGTGACTTCTGAAATTGTATCCACTCATCATGTGTTCATTTATGAAAGAAAATCTTGTTTGCTTATCAAAATTCAGATGTCTAGCACACTGTTTAAATTGGCACTTCAAATTTTAAAAGGGGAATGGCCCCTATTTTTTTGGCATATTTTAGCTAATTTGAATATGAACGAGGCATGTGACCACAGTGTGATTTCTGAAATGTTATTCCCTCATATGTATTAATTTATACAAGAAAAACCTTTGTCTGCAATATGTTTTGATTGTCCAGCCTATTGTTTAAAATAGCACTTCCAGTTAAAAGGGGGCATAACTCATATTTTTTTTTTGTATATTTAAGCTAATTTGCCCACTATTTAAAGTAGCACATCCAGTAAAAATGGGCGTATCCCCTATTTTGCACATTTAAGCTAATTTCCATATGAATGGGACTTGTGGTTAAGGTGAGATTTTAAAAATTTATCTCATCATATGTGTTCTTTTATAAAAGAAAACCCCTTGTTTTCAGTATGTTCATAATGTCTAATTCCCACTGTTTAAAGTAGCACTTCCAATGAAAAGGGGGTGTGACCCTATATTTTTTGCATATTTGAGCTAATTTGCTTATGAACAGGACATGTGACCACAGTGTGATTTCTGAAATGTTATCCCCTCATCATTTGTGTTCATTTCTAAAAGAAAAACCTTGTTTTCAATGTCTAGCCTACTGTTGAAATTGCATTTCCGATGAAAAAGGGGCGTGGCCATTTAAAAAAGAGTGTGGTCATTTCTGGGCTGTTCATTTTTGCAATTGTGGGACACATACCGTGTAGTTCTTAGGGTTCGTATTAGTGTATAACAGTTGAGATATTCTCCTAAATTAATTGCATACAAATCATAATAAGGTCCTAGGCTACATATGTATTTTAAAAATTTATAGGTGTAATTTTGCCCTACTCAGTACGTTTAATAACAATTGCGAAAAATCGCAAGTTGTTCTCGGGTGAGACTCGAACCCACGATCTCCAGATCACTAGCCTGGCATCATACCTCTAGACAACCGAGCTTGCGCCTGATGGCCAAGGTATTTTAAAAATTAATTGTTTTTTTTTTCGGATTTCTAGGTTATAGGATTCACTCTTAAACATGCAATGGTTCATGAATATTATGGTAGGCAGCTAAAGCTACTCACTAAATCTCAGGATGAAAGCAGGGGCAGTAAGGAACAAGACAAGAGATTTATAGAGGTGAGTTTTATTAATATAGCACTGTCTTTAATAAAAGTTTTCAAAAATTGCAATAATGAATTTCCAGAAGCTAAAAATAATAATTTAGGGCACACACCTGTACACAGTAACTAAGACTAATTTACCAAACTGAGCAATGCTGTTCAGATTTGCTGAAAAAATAGTAATTCAGGTCTTCCCCCAATTAAAGCTTTTGGGTTCAGGGTTTCTAATAGTCTTAAGCAGCTTTGGTCTCTAATTAGAACAATAAAGAATAAAGACATTTGTTTATTTGGGACCACAGAAAAGTGGTTTTTAATTGGAGTTGGCTTTATTCTGAGGGAAACTTGTATTGTAAGAAATATATCAAATGTACATCATCTAAACATCAAAATATTTTTCCCCGGGCAAATGAAGATATGAGAATGGTTTGTAGCTTAATTTTATTATCACATTGTCTGTTATTTTAAGTACTGATTTACCACATTTATTTTATGTGTTTTGGTTTCAGATATATAAGCAGCTTGGCTGGCATCACTTACAGCGATACATGGAGAATGTATTACCTGTCAAGTACCCACACGATTACATTCCATTCTAAATGCCTTTCAGAGTGACAACAATAATGTTACAAACTGGTGTCACAAAAAACAAGCCAAAAATGCTGCATGATAATGGAAATCATAAACAGGTTTTGTAATGCCAGGTTTCACATAATCACTACATACCATTGAAAGCAATTATATGGAAACGATTGATATTGGTGAGTGCGTCAACTACTGACTATTACAGGTCAAAACCCACCTTGAGGGGGTTGTTCATACACTTCTTATATGTTTGTACACAGGCTATTGCTTATTCACAAAAAAGTACATTGTTTGACCAAAACTAGAATATTTCTTTTAGTTTTATCTTTTAACTTATTTTAAAATTACTTTTCACTTACAAAGAACAAATATATTTGATATTCAGAGACTTTTTATCAAAAGCGGTATCATCGCACAAGACAATCAAGTTTGATAATCGTTAAACAGATGGAATTAGGGAATTTGGCGGAAGATTCGTAAGTCATTTGTCAGTTGTAATTCGCCGCCGACAATTCTTACTAGTCGAACCTTGTTTCATAAAGGAAAATTGATAGAAGCCCTTGACCACACCCAAGGTACAAAATAATATCATTGAATTTAAAATAAAACTGAAATATTCATTTAAAATGTCATCCTATCTAATAAAAAAAAAATGTTGGAAAAATCCTGGAATGGGGTACATGGATGCTATATGTAAAAATATCTATTAAAAGATCAACACACAATGATCAACTAACATTCAAATTAGGTCTGGCATATTTCCAATTAATTTTGAAATTTTGTTACGCCAAAAAAAACAAAAAAACATTCATGATATGTTGTTTAATATACTTCTATAGTATTCAAAGAATTGAGTAAGATGATTGAAGAACAGCCCTATGGTATTTGTTTTATTGGCATTTTAAAATATCATATTTGTGTAGAAGTGGTGTAGAAATTAAAGTGTATATATTGTATGCAGGCATTGAAAATTAGGTGTACACAGTTGATACCATTATTGAATGCAATTGAACTGCTTTTTGATTGTGTGCAAGAAACAAGAAAATTGAAAAAAAAAAAAACAACAAATGGTAATTATTAATGTATAAAATTGAATCTCAGGGGTCTTGGAAAATATGTATTATATATATACCTGTCTCTGTAGGACCAATTTTATACAGTTTATAGAACAAGCAAAGTCACATAATTAATTAAGAATAGGTTGATGTATTTTTTAAATTATTCAAACTCTGTGTGTGTGACATAATAGGACTGGAAAAACAGGAAGCTTGTCTCACACTGCCATTGTTAGTGGTAACATCACCAGATCTAGGACCCATTGCGTGTGGGTCATTGCATTAGGTATTGAATCGATATGTTTACCCAGCTTTACGGTTTCCGGTTTTTGTGTGTGTGACATAATAGGACTGGAAAAACAGGAAGTTTGTCTCACACTGCCATTGTTAGTGGTAACACCACCAGATCTAGGACCCATTGCGTGCGAGTCATTGCATTCGGTATTGAATTGATATGTTTATCCTGCTTTACGGTTTCCGGTTTTTGTTCACTTTCACATTAACAGGAGGGTTCTGCCATGATTCGTAATAATGCCTTATTTTTGAGATTTGTTTCTTAGGGGCATCCTCATTCTATTGATGTAATCTATTATGAATTGATCAAATACCTCCAAAAAATGTTTAGAAATATGACATTATTATGAGAGTTATGCATTATATCCATTCACGTCCACCAAAGCAAAAAAGTATGGAAGAGTGCATTATATCCACCAAGCATTGAATCAATCACAGAAGACAATTATGCATATTTAATTACTTTCCTAGTTGTTGGAAAAGCATAATACCAAGTTTGTATTTGGTCAGGGTAAAATTATTAAAAGAAGAACGCATTGAATAAGTTGCAATATGACTGTAATATTGAATATTATAAAAGAATTCAACAAACTTAACACGCATACATATTAAACTTATACTGTATACTGTAGGCTTTACTTAGAATATTTAAGTCAATGCTTAGAATTCGGAAGTAACATCTATGCTAAATTTACACTTAACATTATTTTTACTATTTAATTGAGTGCACTTCCTTATAATTTAAGGAAATGCAAATTTATATGGGCCTGAAGAGGTGTGTTTAGAAGTTGGGTATTTTTTTGTTTATTAAAATAAACGGTGGGTATTCTTCACAGTGAATTTAAATAAACTGATCATTTATATTGTATAAACTTGCTATACAATAATGTTGTTTGTTCTTTCTGTAGTGGTTACTGATAGTATCAAATATACATTTTACAGTGTACCATACTTACTATTTTAAGGGCAATACAAATTTAGTAAATCAGATCAGACAGTTGTTTCAGTCTTTTATGAGTGTGAAAGAAATAATGTTGACAAATAATATATAGAAAAACCATTAAAACTTTTTTCTGTTTGTTTTGTTTTATGTTATTTTGGACATATAATGAAATTTAAACCCCTAAAGTGTGGTGAAAATCACATTTACACAAACAAATCAATAGAATAAATTTTCATTAAAAAAAAAAGGCTAAGAAGAAATGTATTTTGCTCAATATCCGAAACTATTATGGCTTATGCGTTATTCCGAATCACAGCAGTATTTTAGTGCGTTATGCGTGTTGTAAACTTGCTGTGTTAAAGAACCCAGTCTTATGAATTGATAAGTGTAGCTATAAATAACCTTATTATTTATTATGAAGTAGGCCTACCTTTGTTTATGGATGAATAATGTTTAAGTCACTTTGGCAACACTCGATAAATTATTCAGATATTATTATATATATATATATTTATATATATATATATATATATATATAATATAAATTTTGAAAGGCAAATGGGAAAAACCCATAAAACAGCAAACGGCCAAGATGTGTATAAGAGACAGACCATTGGTCGAACAAATATGAAGGACTGAAGCGAAATGTCTGTCACTCAACAATTCCATTGTTTCTCTAGATGTGTATAAGAGACAGATATATATATAGAACCTTCACACAATGATAATGAGCCAATTTGTAGTTAGAACATACGCATGCTCATATTCAAGGTCAAATGATGTCAATCGACACATAAACCTATTTTGTGTGTATGATGTTTATGTCGATTGTTGATCTTGATATAAGCATGTGCAGTTCTAACTATGAATTGGCTTATGATGATATCACAATTAATGTGATTAATGTGGAAACTATCACTTTATCCAGCCAATTATGTCGGGGAATACCAACATTGCCCAAGCCTTTTAATTTTTTCTATTTTATAGTTTGAAGTTTCCATATTCTTTCCTAATTGGGTCTACGGTGACACTTTATTTTAGTAAAATATTTTATGTTTAAATAGAACATTTCAAAATTTGGGGAAAAAAAGCATTTTGGTAAATATGATAGAACTGTTTCCTGATGATGCACGCACAATGTGCAACTTTGTTTACTTGGCAGTGGCAGATCCAGGAATTTGAAATAAAGAGGGCCCCAAATTACAGATGGAGGATCTATACTACCTCAGACGTCCCACCATGGTTTGGGCTGAGGTACGAAATCTTTATTATTTTATGGCACCTCTAGATGGCAGGAAAAGGCATTCTTAGGCTTAAAATTTGAGTAGAATCTTCTTCTTTATTTTTCAAACTTTTTTTTTTAAATTTTGAAAAATTCAGGGGGGGGGGGGCGCCCACGCGGCCGGCTGGGCTTCACCCTTAAATCCGCCTATGCTTGGAAAAGAGATTGTAGTGGATGCCACTCCGATACGTACATTCAAAGCCGCATTTTATCTTATCTACCCATGTAGCCTGTGTATTCTTTGATAGGGTGATAAACTAGTAATTGTTTTTATGGGCCTTAGCACAACCTTTTTTCAATGTTTACAATAGTCTACCAGAAACACGTATTCCATTGGACAAGATTGCAGCATTTATGATCTAAATATAAACCTAATTATGTGTTAAACAACATACTAAATGTTTACCAAAGTAGGACCAACATAAAGGTGGTTTTTATAACCAAAAGTGTAGCACTATCAGTAGACTTATTAAAATGATGTTTATTACATGCTATATCATCAACAATAACATACGTTACCGTGTGTTTAACATGTTACTTTTCACAACGTAGTATTCCTTTCAACTAGGCCTAAGCTATTGCCTGAAATTTTCAATTTAAAATTTAATTACAAATATCAACTATTTTGTTAACTAAATATAGTCGAGACACAACCTATAATAAATACTTACCAAATTGCTTCACTTTAATGATGGGCGTAGGACTAGCATTCGAGGGAAACACAAAGTTGGTAAACACGAGGTTCTGGGTGTCAATTGCTCAATGTCCTCTATATTATTTCATTAATATGCAGGCCCGTAACTAGGATTTTTTTTTTGGGGGGGGGGGTTCAAATTTGGAAAAAGTGGAGCCTTTTGAAGATGTTAACGACCAACCAATTGCGCTGACCACATAAATAACAGATCCATCTTGAAACTTGTATTAAAAGTTGCTACTGTCTATAAAGATTATTTAAACAGGATTGTTTTTTTTTTGTTGTTTTTTTTAAGTTTAAGCAACCTTTTTTAGAGATTTTTTTTTGCCATCCAAGCGGAGCCAGCTAGCAAACGGCGGGGTTCGTCCGAACCCCCCGAACCCCCCCCCCCCCTGGTTACGGGCCTGATATGGATTAATATTCCATAACGTAACGTAGGTTACTGTAACGTACATTAACTTTCTAATTACAATTACTAATTAAACATGATTACTGAACACAAATGATGATTTACTGACGCTGTATCCATGATTATTACTTAACTACTTCTCACGTTTAGTTTGGTTCAAATTCTTGAACTGATGTATGAAGAAATCAGGTAACGTATGTTTCACTGCTTAAAAGCGACAATCAAAATGTCAAGTTTAGGACCATATTTTGCATAGAAGACTATTATACTTTTCCGAATAAACAATACAGTATTCATAACATCTTATACTAAGCAAATATTTGCTATTACATTAAAGTTTTGCTGCAATAATATATGTTTTTCCTGGCAAATATGATTATGTAACGTAAATTACGTGCATTTGGCGACACTTTACCATAACCATACTACAAAACTTGAAGTAAAAATTGACAACCTTCCAACCAGCTAACAAATCGGTAACTATAAGCCCTTTGGTACACAGCATTTTTTGAAAGGCAGATTTGCTAAGACGGTATTTTTTATTTGGCGACAGACGAATTTTGCATACTCATGACTATAAATATCGTCCTAACTCTGTTGTTAGTTATCAAATCTCCATGAAATTTGATACACTTTTATAATATATTATGGCCTTTTGAATTTTAGTAACACTTTCCACATTATTCCACACGCACGTTTGAAAGTATAGAGAAATGCTTACTGAATGAAGTTTTTAACATATACAGTACTCTCATCAGTAGCATTTAAATGTAGAATGGAACTAGAAATGCATACTGATGTAGAACTTCTTTATTATACTCGAAGTAGCAGAGTTGCTATATAGGACAAATACAAGTCCTAGGCCCTACTCAGGGGTGGCGCCAGGATTTGCTCGACCCGGGGCCAACGATCCCCGACGAGGGGCTGATCCCCGACGAGAACAACGTTGGCGTGGTCGGGCGTCGCTCAAATTTTTTTTTTAATCCGAATCCTTCAAAGTTTCAAGTGATGCGCATCCATTTCCTGCGAAATGTGCCACAATTTGAGCCACTTCAAATGAATGGTGTTATTCTTGAGGAATCACAAAGTGTAAAACTTCTTGGCGTCCATCTTCAAAGTGACCTCAAGTGGACGTACATGCAAATTATGGATGTTGTGTCCAAGGCATCACGTAGGCTTTATATGTTGTATATTTTGAAGCGATATGATACCTCAACTGATGATCTTATTTTTACCTTTAATATGTATATTCGTCCCATTTTAGAATATGCCAGTTCTCTTTGGTATTCTTCAATTTGTTCAAAAACGAGCAGTTAAAATTATAATTGGATATCGGAATTATGATAGTTATGTGAATTCTCTTGATGTACTGAATTTAAGTACGTTGCATCAGAGACGAATTATTAATCTCTTAAATTTTTGGAAAGAATCTGCTATCATCAGAACGCTTTAAGGAATGGATCCCAGTAAGAAAAGAACCAATAAGATCACTTCGAAAGGTTAATCGGTATTTTGTACCACGCTGTCGAACAAAAAGATTGCATGGTCAACTATTCCAAGTGTTATTGGACTGTTAAATAAAGATTAATTTGGATAATTGGCAATGTACTTCCTAAATTGAACTGGTTTTGTTTTGTTTATTGATTTTTTAATGTGTAATGTAATTGTTCGAATAGGGCTATGACTGTTAACTGTTTTAATGAAATTTGTATATATTAATAACTTTCTAAAAAAAATTGATTGATTATTATTTAATCAATTTATGCTGATTGAAATTTTTTTTAAATTGATTTCAAGCCTTTTTATACCTGAATAAATAAATAAATAAATAAATAAAAAATTTATAAATCAAAATCATCAGAGCTATGCTACACGATGTATTATTATGTCCTTTATTCGAACGCTGTATTTACGTTTCTTTGATGATTTATGTATATGTATATGCTGTCTCTTATACACATCTAGATGTGTATAAGAGACAGATTGTAAGCGATACCGGCAACGGCCAGAATCAACAACCAAACACGGTCGGCTACAAAGCCAACGACGTTACCGACTGTTTTAAGTAGAAAGCTTACAACAGCTCCGATAATTCCGGGTAACGCCAAAAGAGCATTATCACCGAGCTTTTTCAGGATTTCGGCAAAGTTTTTCAGGTATTTTTTAAGCCATCCATCAGGTTTCCCAGGATCCGGTGTCGGGTTAGGAGACGGGCCAGGATCCGGAGACGGTTCGGGGCCTGGAGGAGGAGAAGTCGAGCTTCCTCCGGTAAATATCGCGATCAACGACGCAATGATCGAACCCATAGCCGTGATAATACTAGCGATAGTTATCCCTTGCTCACGAAACAAAATCTTTAATCTATCTCTCAGTCGTAAATCACCGCCCAACATTCTACCAATGGTACCTTGTATCGCCCTGACTTGATTCTTTGCCCTACCCGTATTAGTTTCTACAATTTGCAATATACCATCCCTTTCTATTTGCAAGTCTCGTATACGAGCATCGAGTTGTTTCAGCTCTTCAGACGTTGAGCCTCGTTTATTCATCTCCCGCCATTCTCGTTTGAGTCCCGCTATTTTAACGTCAATCTTTCTGAGGTTTGACAGAGAAAGCGCGAGTTGCTCTCTGACCGTAGTCATTGCATTCATAATACCCTCGATTTCTCTAGCTTGAATATCTGTTTGAACACCTTGACTCGTAGTAGGTTGAGGCAATGTCTCGCCCCCATCGGCACC